CTCATTGTACACCACTATCTCCCATGAATTGCTACCACAAGGTGGTTTCTCAGATAGGTTACAGCCTTTCTGTGGTCAGTGTTGTCCCCAGGTGATGAGAGACAGAGATGTCCACAAAGCTCATTAAATAAAGGGAAGCATGTCTGCTTCTCAGAGGAGATGCTGGGGAATAAAGGCCACTCTGACATATCCCGGGATAAAATACAATCAATTCTTTAAATTCTCTAAATGTTTTATTATTTTATTAAACATTGTAATTTTACACACATAGTCACTTGGCCTCAGGTTAGTCCATTCTGGAATTGTTTTAATTTTTACTAGATAGTAAATGGAATAATCATTTATCAGATTAGCATTTGATTATCTTGTTGGATAGTCATAATTAGGGGATCAAACTTTGGAGTAAGGAAAGGGCTCAGTTCAATGTGTGGCTCTACCTCTTAGCAATTCCTTACATTAACACAAATCTTAGAGCCTTATCCAAAAAATGGGGATACAATGCCTTGAGCCTGAGGCTGTAACATGCCACATGTATAAAGCCCTGGGTCCAATTCCTACAACTGTTTAAAAAAGTGAGTAAAAAAGTAAATAAAGCATATCTAAGAGGCTTTTGAAAGGATAAATGTGATAGGCTGCTAAAGCAAAGAATGGTACTGATATAAGAATTCCTATAAGACCTTACTAACAGATATACAGGACACTAAATTGCTGCTTTCTCAATTAAAAAAAAAAAGCTAAAAAAAAATTCTTCAGAGGCTCCAGGACTGAAGAGGTTATTTCTAATGCTCTAGGCATTACATTGATCCCTTTCTTCATAAGAGATGAGAGTCATGAGGCTTGTTTGGGAGTGGGGTTTAAGCACTGTCACATAAAAATCTGCTCTCCACTCTTGACTCATTCACTACAGTCAATACTGCTCCAATTTCTGCAAAATAAAAGGTTTTCTCTAATCTATATACACCAAACTATGGCTTGACTTTGGTGAGACACATGGAAGTAATTGCTTTGAGGCAGTTCTAGCAACATCAAAACACAAGAGTCAAGCTAAGTGACTTGTCAGGCAGCTTTTAAAATTATTGCTTATAAAAGCAAGAAGAAAGATTTACCTTGATTTTAGGCAATGCTTCAACAAAGCTTTTGAACTACAATTCCCAGAATGCCATCTGCTTTGCAGACATGAAAGCCTACTGAAGTCTGCACTGAGAGTCTGAGATCAATTTACTTGTCCATATGATGGCTTATCACTTCTCAGATCTGAGCAATAATACACCTGGGAGAAGTTTATAAAACTTACAAGAAGCAGAGAAAGGGCCCAATAACTAAACCACACCTGAATAACATTTTTAGGCACAATTTGGCCAAATCCCCACTTTTGTAATATGGAACTTGCCCTTCTATGCGTAAAGTACCACACACTAACAACCACTAGGTTCATAATACTCTCTTCTAACCCTGCCCTATGGTTTATAGTCTATTTTTCAACAATTAAAAGGCAAGTAAAATACCATTAATTAAGGATCCCTGACTCAGAGGAACAAAAATCAATCTATAATTTTGATTTTTATAAGTATTATTACTTGAATTACATTAACTAGTAAATTGCTCTGTGGTAAAGAACAGGATCAAATCAGATCTCTCGGAATTGAACAAAAGGAAGAAAAACTCAAACATTGAGGAAATGAGATCACTTATTGGATTCCTGCCTTGTTATCTTCACCTTAAAATGCAGACAAAAGGACTCACTTATGACTTAGGAAACTATGAATCTCTTAGTTACAGCCAGGGCAAAACATGGTTGAGAGCACGGAGTGAGGCTGCCTGAGCTTTCTGGTCCCGTGCTCACTAGTTGCAAGGAAGGGTAATAATACAACCTCTAGAAGCCTCATCTGCAGCCTTCAAGGTGGGACCATTACAGTGTCCACGATGGGACTGTCAGAAGAATTAAATGACATTATATCATAAAGCCTTTAGCATAGCAATGGCTTTGCTATTAGCATTTCTAAAAACTCCTCAAATTGTTTTATACATACTTCAATTAAAGCACTGTTTAAAATACCAACAATTTGGAACATCCCAATGTCTACCTAGGAGTGACTGGAAAATTATATCACAGCATCTGTAGATACTGCAATACTATGTGGCAGCAGGTAAACCTTCAATTAAAAATACAGAAAAACCTTCCACACTCATGATATTTTGTGAAATTATCCAGATCTCCTTTGGCTAAAAACACATTCACAAGTCATTAAGGAAAAGTGATTAATTCTGTAAAAAGATAGGATTTTACAACCTTCCAGATTGGCAAAAGTTAAAACAATAAAATTGTGAGCACGTTAAACTCAAATGCCCTGTGGGTTAGTTGATGTTCACTATTCTCTGCACCAGCAATTCCGTTTCTAGAAACATAAACCCTGAATATACTCTTGCACATGAACCCAAAGACACATACAAGCATGTGCACAGAGGATTGGCTGTGTGAACTAAGCAGAACAGGAAACAATCTAAATATTCAGGGCACCATATGTTCACATAATAGACCTTACACAAACGTCAAGAGTGATTGCCCTGACTTCACGTTGGAAAATTAGAAAATATAACGGTAAAATAGCAAAAACATAATGTTGACTGAACAAAACAGGAATCTATCTGTACTAATTATAGATTAATAGTAAAAAAAAGAAATAAAAGATTGAGAAAAAAGACGCAGACCCACATAAGTGTACTGTATTTTTGGTTGACGCTGAGGAAGAAAACAGGTGAATGGGTTTGAGAAAGGGTACAAGGAAACTATATCTGCAGTATTTTACGACTTTAAAAATTTGAAACAGCAAGGCATGTAGCACGCATCTGTAACCCTAGCACCCTGGGAGGCTAGGGCGGGAGGACTGCAAGTTCCAGCCAAGCCTGTGTGCTTAGCAATTTAGCGAGACCCTGCTTCAAATAGAATAGAATAGAAAGGGGTTGGGGACTAGCTCAGTGTGAAGGCTTTGGGTTCAGTCCTCAGTACCACACACACACACACACACACACCCATATACGTACACGCACAAAACACAGCAACACACAAACCAAAACAACTATAGATACCAAGGTTACCTCTCACCTTGTATTATTCTGGAGACTTCTTTCATAATTAAAACAGTTGAGCTGAGGATGTAGCTCTGTGGTGATCGGCTTGCCTAGCATGCATAAGACCCTGTGTTCCATCTCCAGCACCACACACACACACACACACACACACACACACACACGGCTGGCATTAATAACAAGTGCCCTACACACACACACACACACACACACACACACACACGGCTGGCATTAACAACAAGTGCCCGCAGACGGCCTGTGACAAGTTACTCAGCTAACCTGAGTTTTTGTATGGGAAAAATGGGGGAAGCAGCACCGTCCTACAGGATTACAGTGAAAACCTTGGATACTACAAACAGGCCTTCAGAAATGATAGATATTACACAGCCCCAGCCATTACCATCTAGAGATCTCCTGGCTGACTGGCTCACTCTTTGAGCTGAAAATGCTCCCACTTGCAGAATAACTTCGGTAAACACTGCTTCCTTTCATTGCTCTCCCTCAAAAACTGTATTTTCTCTTCCTGGCTGGCCTTATCCATTCCTACGAAGGGTGTCCATCCTGTTGAAGCCATGTGCACCCCTCCTCTGGCCTCAGCACCTCAGGATCAATGCTTACATTTCTGCTGTACCTTGAGATTCTCTAAGGTGTGCACATTTTCATTTAACTTTGCATTCCCACTGAAAGGGAGAAAAAGAAGAAGAAAGGGAGAGTAAGACTCAGGACTGGACTTCAGTGCTGGCTCCCGCAAGAATCCTGGCTGTGACTGTGTCTCTAGGACAGGTCTTCTGGGTTACGTGGCATAGTGTGATGACATTCAATAGCCTATGAATCTGTCTTCCATACTGAAAGCCCCTTTGATCAGGTCCCTACTCAATTTTCCCTACACTTAGAACAAAGCCTCTGCAGTCTAGCTGGCCTCCTAGATACACCATAAACACGTCCCTCTAATTCTGCTGTTATCCAAATCTCCTTGTCTTCAAAACCTTGCTTAAATTCTAGGCCTTTCCATTCCTTCATACATTTGACTCCTAATTATATATATATATATATATATATATATATATATATATATATATACACACACACACACACATATCTGTAAGACAACATTATTACAATATCATTTTATTGATAAAATGAGCCAAAGTCATACAGCTGGTAAGCAGCAGAATCAGCATTTGAACCCAAGCAGTCTGCTTCATATGCTGTGCATGTTTTCCCCACATTAAAAATTATCTTCATGGCTTTAACTTCTTCTGGACTCTCCCATGTCATATAGTACCTCACTGAAATGCAGTGATAATGCCACATGATTTTATATTTCCTCACTTTTTGGTAGTTCACAGCATAAGGTTAAGTTCCATAAATACTTATTATTAGATTGCATCTGTATAGGTTTATACAGGTCCTGGGAGGAAGACCACCAAAGGAAGGGGCCAGGCAGTAGCTATCCCCAATTAGTTATATTTTACTGACATTCACAGCAATCCTATGAGATAAGCAGGTCATTTAACAAAGGAGAAAAAGTGACCCACAAACTAAGTGATTTATTCCAAGTTCTACACTAAACAGCAGTATAGAACTGAGACCACAAGACTCCAAGTTGTGTACTTTTCTAGCTTTCTAGGGTTTCTCCAAGGTGAGGAGATAGCAGTGAAGACCCTTGGAATACATACAGGAAATCAGGAATACAAGAAATGCAAATGCCATTATTAGTGTCTATTGCATTTTTCAATTAAAAAAGAAATACAAGTGACAAAAAGCAAAGAGTTAGTCTGTTGTTCCCTCTTGGGGGAACTGCCTCATGCATTATTACACGGCACTCAGAAGGAAGCCTGACCTTAACTGTTACTTGGAATGGCGCCATTGATTATTTAATTGTATCTACCTTACACAAGCCAGTTTCTTACCTGGGATTCTCACTACCGTCCTGAGCAGAGGGGTCTTCCTCCTGGGCCATCTGAGCTGCTGTTTCCTCTGCTTCGTCTTCTGTTTCACTCAGGTTCTCCTGTGCAGGGCTTTCTTCCTCTAAGCTGTCTGGCTCCATATCTTTGTCCTGGATTTGGTCAAGTTCGGACTGGGACTTATTCTCATGAGCGAGGCTTTCTGAATCTGACTCCAAGGAGTCTTTTGAAATCAGATTTAAGTTTTCCTTAAAAGGTGGATCAGAGGACTGAACACTTAAGTTGGTACGATGGACAGGAGAATGAACGGAGAGCTTGGGAATTAGTTGACTATTGCTCATTTTGAGCAATTCAAAAATTAACAGGGGGCACTTTTGTTGATGGAAATAGTCAGTTGATATTTTAAGTTGTGGCTCACAAAAGCATTACCTAAAAAAATTATATTTAGATTATTCTATGACTCTTGAAATCTGCTTAATGGTAATGTTTATCAAAAATGTCAATGAGTGACAGAACCTTATTATTTGAAGGCTTTTGTATGCATTCGTTTGTGAGTACGAGCAAAGTCTGCTGCAAAAATGATCATCTTTTATTCCACAGAAATACATCTGATTTAGAGCTCATCAACAACCCAACTCATCAAATGCAATTTTCTTGAGGAAATCAAATGGCTGCTTGAAATCAGATTCTTATTTCCAGCTTCCAAGGGCTTGTTAAATACGACCTGGGACAAAGTCAAACAGTTAATTATGGACAGTACTTTAACGTTTTATTTCAAAAGCATCTATCAATCAATTAATTATCTGTCTGTCTTAGTTTTAGAAAGTAAAGAAAGTAGAGAAGAGTATGGTTTCCACAGTAGGAACTGTAAACGGAAAAGTCGTTTTGTTTGCAGATCTATTTGATCGGCCACATCCTTTGGAAGAGACTTTTTGATACCCAGAGTGACACTAGAGAAGAATTTATAATTCAGGTGGACATTATATAGCCACTGACCTCAACTCATTATTAAGTAACAAAAGCTGCAACAACATGTTATTAACAAAATTGTCTAACAAAAGATCCTGCCACTGAGCAACTCAAAGCAGAGGTTGGATAATTACCTACCTGGAAGGGACGCTGTTCTGGGGAAGGACAGGTGGGTGGGAGACTGAAACACAGCTAGGAGTTAACTGGAGTCCTACTTGCCCAAGAATAAGACTCCAAGTGAATCTTCAGCGTCTCAAAGGACTGCTACAGTAACCCATGAGGCGGTTTCTGGAAAGGGTGCTTTGAGTTCATATAGGATTGAAAGCAGGTAATGTTTTCAATTGTACTTCCTTTCATCTCTAGCCAGCATTTCTGTTTTGGTTTATCTTCTACCTCATTGCCTTTATGCCAATTTTATTTTCTTTTTGCAAGCCATATAACAGAGACTTTTACCATTAGAGATTACTATGAAGTTTGTTTTATTGCCTTGCTCATATCCTTTCGACAAATTCTAATTTTAATTAAGTAACATAACCTTATTCCTATTCTTAGGCTTGCTTGTGTTGAACTTGTTGCTAAGGTTTGCAAAAACAACTGCCAACTCCTTAGAGGAAAGCACCTTAGCAAACAGCAGACAAAGGTAACATTCATCTTGAAATACACATGAAATGATTTCCTATTTAACTCCAAAGTCCTCCTGTTGGTAGACTAACATATCATTGCCTACTTTTACAGACTGGTTTGTTATAGAATAGAAAGTCTCTAATTTTAAAAGTACACATTACATTCTGCTGCACTATTTTAATACTGATAAGCAGACTGACTAGTTCTTTAGTGGATTTTTGAAAAGCAGTAAGTCCAGCAAATACTAGTATTTAAGCTATAAATTTGTATAAACCCTGGTTTTGCTATAAAAGTTAAGGACATTGTGTTGGAGATCTTGAAGAACAAGATTAAGATAATCTGTGTGGAGCAGGCAATGTTGTTCAGTGGTCAGGCATTCGTGAGGCCCTAGGTTCAATCCCCAGCATGAGAAAAGAGAAAAAAGAAAAAAGAAAACAAAATGTAGTTTAATTTATTTAGAACTGCTCTTTCTTAAAATAATTCAGTTCATTTAATTTCTCTTATTTTCCTAAAGGAAACAATGACCATAGAAATTTAAATTTTGTTGTTAACAAAATAATGAAATATTATGGGAGCATATGAAAAGATAATCATTTCCACAAAAACAGCAGTTTCTGTGGAGGCCTGATTTTAGAGCTAGAAGCCTGCGACCAGAGAAGGAAAAGCTGACAGTTTGAATCAATCAGACAATGGGTATTTTAAATTGAATGAATGTGGTTCTCTAAGACCACGCAGTGGAAAAACCACTGTGCCACTAACGTTTCTGATCCCGCCAGGATGATCAGTCTCCTGCTAAATAAACTATCAAGGCAAGGTCATATCCAATGGCAACGGGGGACTGACAAAAGGCCGGCTCCACCGGGACCCCTCGGAACCCGCTCGGCGCAGACGCAGGCCGGGACGGACGCATGCGCTGCAGCCGGCGGACCGCGAGCCCGCGGGCGCTCCCCGCGGCGCGTGGCCGGGAAGCAGCTGTCGCGGGCTGGGACGCCGGGCGCTGCCATGAGGGTCGCCGGGCTTTGCCCTGGGCCTGTCTCCGAGGGCCGCGCCGCGCCGGCGGGTCAGCAGGGTCGCTCCGCCCGATCCCGCCGCTCTCTCGCGCCCGTCCCGAGCCCGCTCGCCCGGGCGGTTTCCCGCCGCCCTCGCCCCGTCCGGCCCGGCCCGGCCCGGCTCGGCTCTCCCCTCCGCTCCCCGGGCGCGTCGTCCGCCCAGCCGCCGCCAGTCACCTGCCCCGCGCCGCTCGGCCGCCGCCGCGACCCGGGTCCTCGCGCTGCGCCCCGCCGCCGTCGCCGTCGTCGCCGCCGGCTCCCTCGGGCCGCTCGGGGCCCCACGCGGACGCCCGCGCTGCCTGGAGACGGCGGCGACGCGGAGCCCGGACGGCGGCCGGGAAGGGGCCGGGCTGGGCCCAGGGGGAAGGGGCGGAAAGCAGCCTGCAGGGTGCGCGGGGAACGCCTGCAGCTCCGGGGGAAAGGGGAGCAGTTAACAGGGAGCGGAGGGAAGGCAGGCAGGGTCCTGGCTGCTCACAGACCCGGGAAGGAGACCTGGGGCGGGAGAGACAGGGACATCTGCTGTCGTTTCTAGGAAAAGTGCAATTCATTCATTAAAGTTAAACCCGCCTGGATGCCACCAGATAGGCACAGATTAGGTTGAAAGTTTGAAGTGCTATGAGTTTGGAGGATAAGAGCACAAAGAATCTTCACGTGGTACCGAGACTGTGTCCTGGGCATCTGTGATAATGAACCCAGAGATAGTACTTTTCCATTCATCAAGACTGGAGAAAACCGTTCATCAATTTGTAGTATTTTTTTTAAATAGACTTGTGAATTACGTAGCAGTGAAGAGGAATGAAACCCAGCTATGTGAAACAACGTGGCGACATCTCAGAAATGGAGTATGAAATAATAACAAATCCGAAAGATGCTTTTGCGTATAAAAATTAAAGACAAGCCACATTAAACTGTATTATGTTTATACATGCACATTTATTTAGTCGAGAACATCATGGGGGCGAAAAAAGAGCCATATAGGAATTCCTATAAAAATAGGATTGTGATTAGATCTGCCAGATAGGATTTGGGCTATCGGGAAGAGTGCCTTTGAGATGGTAGTTTCCGACCTTAATCCCTAATGGTGTTTATTTAGATATAATAATTCACTTGGATGTACATTTATGTATGTGTAGAATTTTTTACTGTCAAAAAAGGTTTCAAGAAGAATAAAGGAAGTGTTGAAATTATATTCACATGAAAATGGCATTAAAACCACAAGCACTTTTGAATAACTGCCTTCAAAGAGGCAAGGGTGCTTTCATACTAAGTGCCTTATTAGTGAAAGGAAACGTTGGAAAATGCCTTTTCCAGCCAGTTCTTTCACTTTTATATTTGTATTTTTCCTAGAGTTTAGATTGAAAAATTTTTTGACAACATGGACCTTGTCTTCTGTGTGCACAGTAGGATCTAGATGTTCTTTGAAGAAATAAAAGCAAAATGGCTGAAAGCATTGGTGTTATTCTGTCCAGCATAGCAAACAATTTGTCATTCTAGCGACTGCAAATATGCAAACAAACCGTAAGCAGAAGAACTTATTCTGTAAAGCAGTTTCCAGAACATGTCAGTCCGTAGGATCCTTGTAGAATTGTTTGAATTTGCTGACCCCAGTCGTACTTCTTCAGATTCATCAAAGTGCTTTCTGTATCATTCAAAAACATTTTTTCCCCCAAAAAGTTAGTGGTCCCTAAATGATTCCGGAGTCTGCCCATCCAGTCAGTACTAGTCGTATGCAGAACAAGGCATGTTCTGAGTGTGCTGTCACTCTTCCCTCTGTGACTGTTGAGTGTTATCTGACATGATGGACACAGTCAGCATCCACCAGGAGACAGAAACAGCCAGTTATTTTAACGAAAATGTGAATATACATTCATTGAAAAGGTGATGGGAACATGGCTATCACGGGCGAAGTAAATGCAGGAAGCAGCTTCCACTTGCGTGTCTGGAGAGAAACAGGCATGAACCTGGACTTATTTTTATTTATTATTAGTATAACCTAATTGCACAAAATACTAGGTTTCATTGTGGCATTTTTTTTTTTAGCGGTACCAGGGATCAAATCCATGACCTCGCGCTTGCCAGGCAGGCTCTTATGCCACCGAGCTAAATCCCCAGCCTGGCATGTTCATATATATTTTGATTGTATCCATTCCCCGGGGCTATTAACCTTCCTTTAGCCCCTGCTCCCAGCCCACATCCTCTTATTTATAGCTTCCCTTCTATTTTCATGATATCTTTGTTTCCCCTCTTGTATTCCACGTATTAGGGGAAACTTGAGATACTTGCCTTTTTGAGTCTGGCTTATTTTGCTTAATATGGTGATCCCCAGTGAACCTGGAGTTATGAACACTGTGCTGCTCAGCTCGGGGACTCCCAGAACAGGGTTCTAGGCCTTAGAGTAGGTTGAGCGCCCACACTTGTAGGTGCTATGTTCTCAACAAGGTCTAATGAAGCTGGCTCTGGGACTACAAGGAAAACTGGAATCAGTTGCTGTTACCAAAACAAACTGAGCTGCTTGGGATGAAGAAATATTGTCCAATTGACCTTGAGGGGAATGGAAAGCCCACTAATACCTTTCTCTTCTCCAGACTTGTCATGTCCCTCTATTGCCCCCTACTGGCGGACCCAACAAGGAACCAACTGGCAGAGAAGCGAGATTTGCTGTCATGGTTCAAGCTCGGATTAATCAGAGTGTGAAGCTGAGAGACAAGCAGGGCAATAATAGCCGGTTCTTTAGAATTCTTGAAGATTATACAGTGCAAACGAACAAAATCTAGAAAGTTCCCAGCTGATGTTGTGGCAATAGGTAATATGCACGTGAATAGTACTTCACAGGACTTGAGCAGTACTTTTGCATATATTACCTGTTCAGAATTCAGCCGTCAACCTGACCCTGAAATAGGTAAAATACAAAGAAAGATGAGAGAAACAAGTCAATAACGATCAAAGTACATCGGTTCGCAATACTGAGCTGGTTTTTCTCCTCCCCGCCCTGCAGTCTACCCGTGAATTCAGCTGCCTACTCTAGTTCACTCTTCTATGCTGTTACTCAGACTCAGGTAGCAGACTCCATCCACATCTCCCTTTTGCTTTTGCCTCCTCCTCAGGTGCTTAGTTGAGTCGACCTAGCTTAGTGTCATGTCTTCCAGAAAGAATTTTGGGACAGCCTCCCTGAACTGTCCCCAAGAAGCTTTCATTAGGGTGGTTCTCTACCTGAGGCAGTTTTGCACTCTAGAGTCAGCTGACAGTTTCTGGAGATGCTTCTCACTGTCACAGCGTTGTGGGGTACCATCTAATGTGCTAGGGCCAAGGCTGCTTCTTAGCATCCTGCGGTGTGTAGGATCGCCCACAATGACAGGATACGGCGAAAAGTGTCAGTGATGCTGGGAATGACAAGCTCTGTGCTAGGCTGGTGGCCCTTGGTCTGTGGTTCCAAAGCACCCAAGTGCAAGCTCCTAGTGTTATATATTTGCTTGTAAAACACTGAATTGAAATTATCTATATGTTTCTGTCATCTTACGTGTTACAAGCTCCCAGAGAACAATGACTAGCGTTGTATATGGTTCAGAGGAGACCCTGACTTTCATTCCCAGTACTGAAGAAGACAGAAACGGCTTTATTGAGTATTACTCAGATGTCACACAATTCACCCTTCTAAAGTGTGCAACTCAGCAGATTTTAGTACATTCACAAAGGTGTGCAACTGTCACTGCTAATTCCAGACCCCTTTCTCCTCCGAAACCTATTTCCATCACCCCTCATTCCTGACTTCCCTCAGCCCTTGGCACCGCTAGGGTATGTTTGTTTCTCTGGCTGTGCCTGTTCTGGGCATTCTGTATAAATGGAGCCATATAAGATGTGTTAGGCATGCGTGTCTTCTCTCACTAGCATGATGCTTTCAATGTTCATCCACGTTGTGGCATGAATCAACACTGCCTTCCTTTTTCCTACCAAGTAACTTTTTGCTGGATGTATATAACGTGTTTCACTTAGCCATTTGTCACCTGATGGACTTCTGGTTTTTCATCTTCGGGTTATTATGAATAATGCTTCCATGAATAACCCTGTATACATCTTTGTAAATGTGTGTTTTCATTGCTCTTGTGTGTACACGTAGGAGCAGAACTGGTGAGCATAAGCTAAGTCTGGTTAGCTCTTTGGAGAACGGTTGGGCTGCTTTCCAAAGTGGTTGAACCATTTGACATTTTCCTTAGCAATCTGAAGGTTGCTATTACTCCATACTCTTCCTGAAACCTGTTACTGTCTGTCTCTTCCAGTGCAGTCGTCCTCGTCAGTGTGGAGTGGTGTTTCTTGCATTGGGGTTGGCTTGCATTCCCCAATGATTTTCTGTCAAGGTGACGAATGTCCAAGCTAAGTCACTTTTAAGGAGGAAAGTTTTATTTCGGCTTATAGTTTTAGACCTTTCAGTTCCTGGTTAGTTGGCCCTGTTCACTTGGGCCTGTGTCAGCATCATACCTAATGATTAGCATGTGTGGGGGAAGAGGCTTGTTCACCTGGGGTAACTGGGAAGTAACTAAAGAGGCCAGGGCTCAGCATTGCCTTCAAGGGCGCACACCCCAGTGACCTCATTTTCCCATGCTAGGCTGCACCTCCTAAAGGTTCCACCACCTCTCAGTGGTGTCGTGGGGTTTGTTGTTGAACCCCTCACACATGGGCCTCTCAGTACACTTATCTGAAGTGTAGCAGCAGGGGATGCCGAACACTATGTGCTCAGAGCTGTTTTTTATTCCACGCTTGCTTTAATGATGTTTCAAATTTCTGCTAAGAGTTGGCATCTGAGAAATCTCTAAAAACAATCAATGTTTTAAAAGGATGTGAATCTACAAGTTTTGATTTGTTTAACCTGTTGCAGGTGCTTGATGAATTGTACTATTATGAACCCCTAAAGTTTTAATGTATTTGCTGTGTTACAGTCTTTACTCTCTGTAATGCTCAGATTGTCTCATCTGTGGCCAGTGGCAGTCCTTACATGATCTTAGGGGGCCTCCGGGGCCGTTAGCGCCAGCTGCCCTTAGAGAGCTCCACCTTCCATCCCCGTCCTTTTCACACAGTTCCTTTTTGTTAGCCTTTAGTTACAATTCCATTTTACAAATAGAGCTCAAGGCTGGGGATTTAGCTCAGTGGCATAAGTGCCTGCCTGGCAAGTGCAAGCTCATGAGTTCGATCCCCGGTACCAAAACACAAGCGAACGAAGTATAGCTCAATAGGTATATATTTATAACTCATCGATCTCTTAAGATAAAGGAAATTTAATGT